ACAAGGGGGAGCTCATGGACCCCCATGTTGCTGATAGCTGAGAAACCAGCATAGGACTGTTCCAAACCCCCTGAATGTGGTGTCAGTTTGGAGGTCTGGGCAATCTATGGGGCCACTGGAAATGGATCAGTATTTACTAGTACACAAATGGACTTTGGGAACCCACTCCACATAAAGGGATAATTTCTCAGCCTAGACACACTGGAGAGGGCCTAGGCCGTGATCCAAATGATATGACAAACTTTGAAGATCTCCCATGGAAGGCCTCAGCCTCTCTGGGGAGCAGAAAGGGGTTGGGGAGGCAGACGAGGGAGAGGGAACTGGGATTGACATGTAAAAGAAGCTTGTTTCCAATTTAAATTAAAAACGGAAAAAAAAATTACCCCATCACTTCTTATAAACAGTAAAAGCTGTGGTTTTCCTTTTTAGCTATATTTTTCCATGTGCATCTGTCTGTGTGCATGCATGGCACACATGTGACGGTCAGAGGACAACTTGCAAGAGTCACTTCCCTCTTCCCACCTGTAGATTCAGGACATGACACTCAGGTAGTCGTCTTGTCCAACATGACCTGGACCATTAAATGATTAAGAGGAATCAAACAGTAGTAACGTGCATACATTTCACTTTAATTTGAAACATCTGAATATATACCTATTTACCAAGCATTACTAATAAGGTTAAGAGCTTTTCTACATAAATTCCACTTGTGGATTTTCCCCTACATCTACTAGTATTGTGTGAAATAGAAAAGAAAGATTCTGAAATCTGAATCCTCCCGCCTTGACTTCTTGAGTGCTAAGCAGATGTACCTTTCAAAGAGCCTGAATGTGGCTTTGTCATCTAGATGCTTAAGAATGCCTTCTGGTGGGTCTCTTCAGTTGTGGAGCTTAATTCTCTAGCCTCTTGACCTGTTCCCCCTGCCAGCTGTCATTCTATGGTAAATGTGGTCCTCTGGGCGCTTGCCCACTGCCGTGCTTTCCCTAGTGGAAGCTTGAGTGTTAGCTGCTGTGCTGTGTGCTGTGTGCTGAATCTGAGCTTTAGCACCTAATCTCAGGGCGTGGTGCAGAAGGTAGTTTTGACCAAGGAAATATATTTTCAACTATCCCAGAATATTTATGTCTTGAAGTTGTTTTCCTGAAGGAAGGTACATTTCCTTCACTGAAATTTGTTTTGTAGCACCAGTAAGGTGGCTTGGCAGACAACAGTACTTCCTTTGGGAGCCTAGTGACCTGATTTCAATCACTGGCACCACATGAAAGTAGAGGGAGAAAACCGACTGCACTGAGTTGCCCCCAGCCTCCACACATGGACTGTGGCATACACGCACCGATCCACCTTCCGTCCATGCACAGGATAAGGGCACACATGGCTGTGTGCATGCTTGTACACACACACACAGGTATATTTTTAATTTTTTTTTAATTCCAATCAATAGTACTAGTTCTATTTAGTTCTATGTACATTTGCCCTAATGCCATTTTGTTCTACAAATTCTAGGGGTCATGATGCATTGTCATCGGCAGCTCACACTTTTGTATGGTGTCCTTTTTTTCTTGGTTGTGTGGCTTTAAAGTGAAAGGCCCTGACAATGTGTACCCTGGACATGGTCTTTGATCGTGACCTTGAGCATTTGTCAGACATGAAAATAATTTTCTATGTATTAAAATTCCATTTTTTTTTTTTTGGTTTATCTGTAGCTTTGGAGCCTATCCTGGCACTCGCTCTGGAGACCAGGCTGGCCTCGAACTCACAGAGATCCACCTACCTACCTCTGCCTCCCAAGTGCTGGGATTAAAAGCGTGTACCACCAATGCCTGGCAAAATTCCATATTCTTAACTATAAATTTTCTTTTGTATCTATTATTTTCAGGCGATCATTTCTTTTTTATTTAATCAGTTATTTTGTACTGGTAATCTATTTTTAATATGCCTTTAATTTCTAAGTATAATTTTTGTTTGTTGTGTCCAGCATTTTTGATGTTGGTGATTTTTAACTCCAATGTCATGTCTTCTTGGCTTGGGCAATGAGAAATATTTATAAATTGTCTCTTTTTTTAGTTTTGCAGTGCTAGGACATTTATAAATTTAGAACAAAATATTTAGTGCCTCAAAGTTAAAAAGGAAAGGAAGCACATTCTTTTATGCTATTCTTAATCACATTTTTTGCAGTAGGTACCCACACCCTAGTCAGCCGTTAAGTGATTATCAGCTTCTCCACAGTTTATCAGCTATTTGTCAACTTCTCCACAGGCTACCGTCAGTTTAAGAGCTGAAAGACAGAGATTTTCAGTTATGTGAGGACTTACTGGCTTAGTGTTTTATTCCCAACATCTAGAAAAACCCTAGATACACTGTATAATTTTTTAAACTTGCAAATGGATATAAATAAATGCTGTGTAAACTTGTCCTTTCTTTTCTTATTGCTCACATTGTCCTGGGGCTTCTCTGCTCTGGGCAGGCCTTCCTCAGCTTCCCCAGTAGAGGGGATTACAGGCCCACACCACCAAGCCCTGCTGAACAAAGCATGGAACAAGGATTCACAGATTACTGCATAAAATCCTGGTAGAGGAAAAAATGTTCATACACATATATGTGCATACATGTTCTTATACTCTAGACCAGTGCTTCTTAACCTGTGGGTTGTGACCCCTTGGGGGGAGTCAGTGACCCTTTCACAGGGGTTGCCTAAGACTGTTGGAAAACACAGGCATTTGCATTACAGTTCATAACAGTAGCAAAATGACAGTAGCAATAAAAATTTGACAGATTGGGGGTCACCACAACACGAGGAACTGTATTAAAGGGTTGCAGCATTAGGATGGTTGAAAACCACTAAGCCAGATGATATACTTTATTGACTAAAATACATAATGACTTTTTAACTAATATTCCAAAGTCAGAAAGCAGGAGAGTCAGTTGGCTTCTACCAGCTATTTGTCAAAATATTTAATTGGAAATTAAAAAAAATATTCATTGTTTTAAAATGTTCAGATGCTGGCTTTAATATTGTTCTTTTCAAATGATCCCGTTCATGTCTTCATTCTCTTGAAGGAATGGAGGGTCACTTTACAAATGGGAGTATCCGATTCAACAGATTAAAAGGGCATGCCGTTCATTTTGAATTTTAGAACTGGTTTTTAAAATTATGTGTGTTCATTTTTAATTTTTGAAAATAAAATTAAAAAAGTCCATGTGAAGTTCAAATATGGTTGTATATTCTGCACTTTATCTGGCAGTCCAACTTCCGGAAGCCCCATCTGCCTGCCCTCACTTCCGTTTGTCCATCAGTTACAGGAAGGCGTTTGGCTTCATCAATGTAAAAACCTTAGTAGAGTAGACTTATACCACACCATCCTTTCTTTGGGGGATTAGCACTTAGGACCTTGCAGGATCTAATTGTTTTTGTCTGCTGCCTTTTATTTTAATCTTTATTTACTTTTCTTACGTGTTGGGTGTTTTGACTGCATTTTTATCTCTGCACCATATGACTGCATTGCTCACAGAGGCATCAAGAGGGTGTCGGAAGCTCTGGTTGTGAGCCTCACTGTAGTAGGTACTGTGAATCAAATCCCAGTCCTCTGGAAGAGTAGCCCAGGCTTCTAGCTGCTGAACCATCTCTTCAGCCCTCTTATTATTTTTACTCTCATTAGAGAAACAGCTGACTTCAGACTTGACTTGTTTCCATTTCCAAGCCACCCAAACATGAGTTATAGAGAAGAAAATGTGAAGAAGTTATAATTTAAAATCCAGCTGCCACCTATCACCCAGTCTTTTCACACAGAACTAGGTGTGATATGCACACCTGTAACCCTGGAGCAGCAGAGGCTGAGGATGGGGGATTGCAGGTTGTGTCCCGACATGGGGCACATAGCAAGAGACGACTTCAGAAAACAAAAGTAAACAAATAAAAACCAGATCTGGACCAGCCTGATGACCTGAGTTCAATCCCTAGGACTCACATGGTAGAAAGGAAGAAGGAACTCCTGGAAGTTGTCCTCTGATATTTTTACGCACATGCTGTGACACGTGGGGGTGGGCGACCAGCCTGATGACCTGAGTTCAATCCCTAGGACTCACATGGTAGAAAGGGAGAAGGAACTCCAGGAATTTGTCCTCTGATATTTTTACGCACATGCTGTGACACGTGTGGGTGGGCGCGCATGCGTGTGTGTGTGTGCACACACACACATACACACACACACACACACACACACACACACACACACACACACACGAACAAATAGACAAATAAATGCCCAAATAAATAATGTCATTCAAAACCCTATAGACGTTTTTAAAAATTAAATGTTGTTTGTAGCAAAAAAGAAAAGTCCCACACCAAGTTTTGATGGTAACCAGAATGAAAACCTACTGTAATCAGTGTTGTTAGATGGGTCTTCTTGTGACAACTGCCCAACATATTTCACAAAGCAATTGTGAAGATAAATTTGATAATGTGTATCTGCTAGGCTGTTTGAGAGAAAGTAAGTGCATTAGGAGACAATCATTGCTAGTCACTTTTCCCTTTGACTGAAAAGAGTAACTTGGTCTGAACTCCCTTCTTTTCTAGTGCTTTCTACATCCATTTCAACCTGCCAGCTTTTCTGTGGAATTTTTAGAAATTGGCCTTACTTCCATGTAAGAGGGATGGTGGCCTCTACTGTCATCTGAGGGCCAGGCTTGTGTGGTGGTGGCGGCATGCTTTGGGGTCTATCAAACCAAGAAGGGCGTGAGTTTCCAAGCCCTCACTGATTGGAGAACAAGCCTTTCTGGGCTGTCCAACTTACAAGAAAAAAAGTTACCATGTTTTCATTTCTTCTTCTCCTTAATCTTCTGTTTCTCTCTGAGAAAGGTAGTCTTCTTTCCGATTCCAGTGCCTACTCCACAGAGGATAGACAATGCTTTACATAGTCTCTTTCTGTATGTTGAATTAGACTCTTAATCAAGCTTAAGTGTAGTTGTGATGTTTGTGTATACAACAGGAAGTGGTTTTGGTAGTATATCATTTTAACTTGTTTTAATTGTGGAGAGTGCAGTGTTGTGTGTACAGTGCATATCTGTGTGTACAGTAGCTTTACTTCTGATTAGTTCTTGGTTCATTGGCTAACGTCATACAGCCAGTGTGGACAGTTTGTGGTTGGTTTTCTTCTGGCAATTTCTCATTTTTTGGCTGTGTTAACTAACGTTCTCTTTTCTTCTGCAGCACAAATGTACAAATGTGTGATAGCCCTTTCCACTGTACTCCAGAGGAAGCAAGATCACTAGTTGAATCGGTAAGGAGCCAGGCAACTGTATTTAATAGCATGTTAATTCTTACTTAGAGACCACTAAATAAGAAAATTAATATTTGGATAATTAGGTATATAAAGTGTGTTTAACAGAGATCTCAAGCTTTAAAATCTCCCTTATAAATTAGGGGCTTTTAACTAATTATGAGCTAGAAACTAGTAAATTTAGGTCCTTAGGAACAACTGAAATTATGGCTGCTTTTCATTTGTTGGGTTTTCCCACCATTAATTCATCAGTTATTCAGTTATAACCTGCTCTGCAATGATTTATCAGTGCATGAGTGCATACTAAAAAAGACACAAAAACGTGTCCTATTGAAAGTTACATTTTAGTTGGGAGGATAAATAATAAATATAGAAGTGAAGGCGACTTTGAATAGATAATAAATACTGATGAAAAATGAATTGCAGGAAGACGGGAATTATAGTCATTAGGCAGTGGTCTAGGAAAGGGGCGTGCCAGTGGCTGTGGAAGGTGAAGGGGTGAGCTGCTGAAGTGGGAGCCTTCCAGGCTCAAGGCAGAAGGATGCCTGTGTCCTAGCCAGGGACACTGAGGATTGCTGGGAATTTGGGACTAACTCAGGCCACATACCGAGTTCCAAGGCAGCCTCAGCTAGGGAGTGAGACCGCATCTGACAAAACCAATAAATAACAAGATACAATGCTGTTTCATAGTTATCAGCTTGCCAATGGTTTAAAAAGTCTGATAATACTAGATGTTTTCAAACCTCACACTCAATTATTAGTTTGGCAATATAAATTGTTATGATTCCTACGGACACTGAAGATGCTAACTCACTGTTCTGCACTTGGCAGAACAGTGCCAATCTCATAGAGATATTGGTGTGTATGCTTATAAAACCAGACAGGGGAAATCTGAAACTGGGGATCAGTTGATAAAATTAGGGAATAAACTGTGCGTATGCACTATTGTCCTTGTCTTCTTTATAAATCAGGGCAGAAAGAAGGTGTGGCATTGGGTGGGTGAGGGGGATATCAGGAAATCATTGCCAATAGTGAAGAGTTGGTACGTACCTGCTACTTTTCGTAAGACCATTGCATTACTTTCCAATTTAAATATCATTTTCTTCACTAATGTGAAAAAGACATTTCTTGCCCATGACAAAACGGAGTGCCATTATCTGACTTCCCATAATGGAGGTTCTCTTAAATAGATAGGGCTTTATGTGTTCTGAATATATTCAACCAGTCAAGGAACCTGTCCTAACAATGAAAAAAATAACATTCTTGAGATAATGTTTAAAAGTAATGTCCTATTACATGTTTTAAGAGAACTTGCTTGCTTCTCTTTTGCAGTGGTTTTCAGGCTAACAAATTGCTCAACTGTTTTATGTTTTGTGCACCATTCATTTTCCCTCTCTGAAATGTTTGGCAGTACCATTTAGAAACAGATGTTAATTTTAGACAGGAAATTTAGCCAGTGAATTTTTCAAAGAATTTTGTAAAATGTTTTGTACAACTTCAAGAGAGAGAAGCATGTGAGAATATGAGAAGGTTCTGATCTGTGCAGATAGATACTGTCATCACATGCCCAGGGCTTCAGCTGAGTGGGAGGTTTGTGCCTGCTGCACTTACTCTTAGGCCGGGCACTCTCCAAAGCAGCCCAGTTAGGCATGTTTCGTGGGCCAGAGGATGCTGTGTTAAATGTAATAATAATCCTGGGCCTGGCATTGACTTGCTTCCTATGCACCACAGCCCTCCCAGGCATCTGGTTCAAGAATAGAGGATTTTATCCATATTAAAGATTTTCTATGGCAAGTGGTTTTCCTCAACTTACCCGCTGTTTCCACAAATTCTCCCCTGCCCTCACATCAGTATGCACAGGCCTACCCACCACTTCCACATGTAAAGAACAGCTCTCAAACTGTTTAAACCCCCAGGCCTGACAACTACTAACGTTGTCATCAACGTCCAGCCCCTTCCCCCAGTGTCACACACTTGGGCTTTGGCTGTGGTTTTTGCAATGCATACAGAGATATACTTCTATGCCTGGTCTTCGCACGCCAAACTCCTTTCATTTTCAGTACAGGCCATTCTCAAAGTCTCAGTATCTTATTGCTACCAACAAAACAAAATAGTCACAAGCTGGAACCTTTGTGAGCTGCAGAGTGAGTGCGATCCCATGAGTGGCCACATACTGCAGCATACTTAGCCCCAGTGAAGAGGCCTGGGCAAACTAGGTGTGTGTTTGTGGGGGGCTACATCCCCTCCCAGAATGCCCCTACACAGCTGTGTGCTGAAGAGGAGCAGGGCTCTTGAGGTGATGGCACAGTTGCCGTGATTGTGCTTATTGTAGGTGACCCTGCATTTCTTAGTGATACTCGTCCCAACATCAAAGTGCTCTTTCTGCCTTCAGACGCCACCCACCAGACAGGCCACAGAATTCTTTTAAGGCTTGCTACCTGACGCAGACCTTTAGTCTGCTCCCTGCTTGGTCATAAAACACTGATGGAATTCAAGAAGGGTTCCATCTATGACTGATCCAGGACCTTGCCCGGGGAATGCCACCACAGAGATGGCAAGTGTGTTGAGTGTGGGGGAGGGTGACAGTCCAGGCTGCTTAGAGGCGGTTCCTGTGTGCTGTTGTCTGAGTGTGAATGTCTTCACACACTCAGCTGCAGGGTGCTCAGGGGGCCACTTGAGCAACTGATAGGAAATACTCCTGAGCATGTCTTCTTTTATGTGAGTCTACCCCTGGGGCTTGTTCCTTAGAAAGAATGAGCAGCCCAGTCAAGCTCTTTGAAACTTTTTTGAAATTAGAGTACAGATATGTCAGTTGTAGTCTATAATCTCATGAAAAATATTTCTGTGCTCACTTTCCATGTATAAATATTAAACATATTAAATTAATTCTTTGCTCTTCTTATCTTTCAGGTCCCAACATCTTCAGTGATTAAAGAAAGCAATATAGAAGGTATGTCTCTTTTAAAAGTTATTTGTCGTTTTAAGAGAGCGAGTGACAGCATATACTTTTAGAAGTCTGTTTTGTCCTTCCTTCATAGACACTGGGGGTAGAATGCAGGTCATCAGGCTTGGCAGCAGGTACTCTCACCCTGAACTATCTCACTGCCCTGGTTCCAGTTCTTGAGAGCAAAATGTCCAAATCTGTTTATAGTAGTAGACACCAATAAATAAATAAATAGTTATGTAAATTAAGTCAGTAGAGTTCAGATGGTCATTAAATTGCCCTGATAAAATATATGCCCTAACTTCAGGAAATGAGGATCACATTTGTAATTTTGAGAGCATTAGCTTACGTAGTGATTATGCAACCTCCATGTGGCTTGCTTAGGCCTCCTCGTTGCTGCTTTAGTATGCTGCAGTATGGCTTACACAGCTCTCAGTGTGTGGATGAAGTAATGAGAAAGTCCAGCCAGCTCTGATAAACTCAGGGCGACTCTAGAAACTTGTGTCTAAGAGATCTACTTTTATTATCTCTAGGAATTTTATAAGTCATTTATTTTAACTGAAAGCTTTCAAACCAAAATATATCATAGGGTTGAAACTAAGTTCCATGTCCTTGGTTATCATTGTTTGGAGCCATTTTTGAGAAGCAAGTAAAAGTATTCTTCAGTAACAATTTCAGAATGTAAGCATATACACATACCATGTGTCATTAAAAATATGACAAGGCTGCTGGCTGGATGGCAGTGGCACACACCTTTAATCCCAGCACTCGAGAGGCAGAGGCAGGCAGATCTCTATGAGTTCAAGGCCAGCCTGGTCTACAGAGCTAGTTCCAGGACAGCCAGTGCTGTTATACAGAGAAACCCTGTCTCCAAAAAACCACCATCCCCCAAATATGAAAAGGTTTTTGACTTTTAAATATAAAAAATATTAGGATATTCAACTTAATGAATTTGGAGGGAAAATGAGAACAATTTACTGCATCGAGCTGTGAGATGTTTAAGACAAAGAGTGTCCCTAGAATCAGCTCTGTGGGAAAGCAGGTGTAGTTTTTTTCTGCCTGCTGGTCAGGCTTTCTTTACAGTAGATCTCCTTTTGGGTATTTGATGAACAACCAAATTTTACAGCAAAGAAGTTTTTCTAAACCTTCCCTATTGTTGCTAGAGTGCTAACTTCTGCACTGTTCATTAGACTCTAAAATGCTCCCAAAGAGGGGGAGGGGGGACAGAAAAATACCATGAGCAGGCTCTAGAATTTTTAATGTAGTTTATATGAGGCTTGAGTCAACTGAGAACATCAGGGAGCAGGATGCAGTAGCTAACCTTTAGTGGAGAGATGACATGCTAAGATTATAGACTTCAAAAATTGTAATACTGATGTCTAAATGCATCCTACAGATGTAAACTAAACATGTCTTATTCCTCCTCCTCCCCCTCTTCATTCCTTCCACCTCCACCTCCCCACACCTTAAACAGAAGAAAGGTGGCACTTCCTCAACTGACGGGGACACTGGAGGTTCTCCATCAAGACTGCAACCTCTGAGGACCCCTAAGGTTCCTTTTCCCTTAGTGCTCTTGAGAAGCAAGCTGATGCCCATTTGATGACTTCCTGTCAAAACATCATTGTTCCTAAACTTTTTAAATAAACTTTTAAATAAATACTGACATTTTGAACTTCTCATTCTTTTAGATATTTATTGGTACAGAAAAAAAAAAGATTTCACCTAATTCCATAGCAGATCTAAAGGCATTGTTTGACTAATGATTTCATTGATTTTTTGTGTCTAATTGGTTAAGTGTGAAAATCAAAAATTTAACAATAAAATTTTTTATCAGTACTATTACTATTATTTTCATATCTTCTTGTCTCTTTTCAAGTCCATCATTGATAAATGCTTTTTTGGTCAAGCCATCCTCTCTTAGCATTGTCTGCTTAAATGTGCTTTATACACTAAAGCTCTTTCCTCTGATTGGTTGTTTCAGAGGCCCTTACCCCTTCCATCTTTTCACTCTATCCCTTTGATTTTAGTTCTCATCTCCATGGAGATTTAAGATCCACAGAAGAAGGACTGTGCTTAAACATTTCTTTATGTGCCCTGGACCCCTCTTATCCAAACTGCTGGATTAAGTCCCCCCCTTGAAGTCATACTGAGCCCAACTTTATTCATGAATGTCCCCTCTACTCCTTCACACCCATTCACTGCCCTCATTCATGGGGCATCCCCACCCCACCCCAATCTCTTCAATGGGCCTCTGTCTTGTCCACATTGCTCTAGCTCAGCTTCATGCTCAAGCCTCCTCACCAAGTGATTATTCTCTCTGGCTTTGCTCCAATCTCATCTTCCGTATTTCCAACAGTTATTGTCTTAGTTTTTCTCAAAATATGTTCAGAAGCTCTTGTATTCCTGAGAGTAAAAATTAAATCCTCATTTACTCCAGAAATTCATCTTTTCCCATGCCTTGCTACTCATACTCTGTAGACATGCATCTTCACACCCCCACAACCATGTTAACCTGTTGGCTGTGCTGGCCATAGCTTTTTCTCCTCTTCCTTTCTATTGGTCTCATGATCGCCAAGTTCACTAATACGTTTTGTGGTTGTGCATTACAAAACTGTCTTCCACTTACCGAGCACCTGTGGTGTATGGGGATGTGTGTTAGAAAGCCACATGCTGTATGCATGCTATAAAGTGATTTTGCTTGCTTTCTATCAGATGCCCTGAGATCTTCTTTAACTTGCCCAACATCACATAGCTAATAAATTTCAGAGCCAGGATTAGAACAATTAACTCTCAAGCTCTACCTTCCATGGGTTTTCCAGCCTGTTAGGTGTAATGCATCTCGCTTATAATGAAGGCAAAATAGCATCCTTCTCATACAGATGAAGATGAGACAGAGTTTAATGGTTAGACCATGAGTAAGTATTTTCTGTGCATCTGTGTGGAGCACATGAGGAGGTCAGAGGACAACCTCAGGTATCATTACTCCGAAGGCATCGTTCACCATTTTCTTGGAGACCAGATCTGTTACTGGGTCCTAGGACTCAATGAGCCAAAGAACCCCAGGGAGCTTCCTGTCTCTGCCTCCCCAGCTCTGGGATTGCAATCACATGCCACCATGCTGGGCTTTTTACCTGGGTGATGGGAATGGAACTTAGGTCCTCATGCTGACACACAGCAAACACCTTACTGATGGAATTGTCTTCCCAGCACCAGCAATGGTTTCTTCAAGTCTTTGGGAATACGTGAACTTTGTTGAGGGACAACAAAGAGCATAAGGGAAGAACATATTTTTAATACTGTACTGACTGTCCTGGTTTGTGGATTTTGTGAGGTGTTTTTGTTGTTTTGTTTTGTTTTTGTCAGGCTGACACAAGGTAGAATTATGTGGGAAAAGGTCAGATTGTGTGAGGCCCGGGGGTGACAGCCTACTGGTGCAGTGCTACCTCTGGAAGGTGATCCTCGGTAGGAAAAGAAAGCAGGCTGAACAGACTGTGAGAATGAGCCAGTAAGTGGTGTCCCTGTGTCTCTCCATGGCCTGTGCTTCAGCTCCCTGTCTTGAGCTCCTTTCTGATAGAGACTTGTAAACTAAAATAACCCTCCATGAGTTGCTTTTCGGTAGTGGTATTTGAGTACAGTGATAGAAAGCCTAACAAGGCCCTGACTTAAATAGCAAAAATTAAACTTATAAAAAGAGAATAAAGAACACTTAGCCTTGCAATTTACAAAAGTAAGCTAAATTTCACAGAGGGTCTAGATTGATAAATTTGTGAGAGTGGATTTTCTTCTGCCTATTGAAAAAAGCTTTTCTAGGTGAGCCAGCTTCCCTTCCCCTGGCAGGCAGTACCCAGAGGCCTATTTATCAAGCCTTTTCCACAAGGAGGCACATCACTGATCTAAGTTTGCTTCACACTGTGATCCCTGGCAGGCAGTACCCAGAGGCCTATTTATCAAGCCTTTTCCACAAGGTGGCACATCACTGATCTAAATTTGTTCACACTGTGATTTTTTTTTTCGTAAATTATACATAAACTTTATGCTGGCAGGGTGGTGCATTCCTTTAATCCCAGCACTGGGAAGGCAGAGGCAGGTGGATCTCTGGGAGTTTGAGGCCAGCCCAGTCTACAGAGTGAGTGCCCGGACAGGCTCCAAAGCTACATAGAGAAGCCCTGTCTAAAAGGGGGGAAAAAGTGAATAAAATAAATGGGACCACTATTGAAAGAAGTCACCAAAGAATGTTATGTAGTCTTAATTGGCTAAAGCCTTAAACACAGGGTGGCAGATATGCAGTTGTGGCCCTGTACTTACCAGGATCACCTTCCTGTAGCAGGGGTTCACAGCTGGAGAGTAGAGCTTGGCAGCTGGGAGTTGGGACCCAACCCCATGTGTCATCACCTGTCTGTCTTCAAGCAGACAAAACCAACCAGGTTCACCAGGGAGCCAGCAAGTCAGCTGAGTGAGCTGCCCCTTCCTGTCAGATCCACTCTGGTCTGCACAATGCAGAAGCTGCTCCCTGCCTGTTCAGTGTAAGAGGCTCCCTGGTGACGGCATGACACTGAGACCACCCAATGCACTTTAGTGCCATCTCCATGTTGCTGTGTGAGCTACTTCTGATTCTTAAACTCAAATGTGACCTCTTCTGAGACCTTCCCCCAGCCCTGCCAGGGGAGAGCAGTTCTTGTGTGCTCTGTAACTGATGAATCCTGCTGGCTTGTTTGAGAACTGTTCATTCCATCTCTCCTACTGTGTTATGAAACACTGAGACTGATGATGACGGTTTTGAAAGTGTTTGTTTTATGCATTAGCAATTCATGTTTGTTGGATTACATTGTCTCGGTGCCCTGTGAGAAAGATGGCTCCTTTTCCTGTTTGACTTATCATATTAAGTTTATAAAGGGTAAGTGGAGTGCTGGAAATCACAGGCCCTTGGCACCTGGTGTGTCCTCTGATGCTGCTGTTCAAAGTATTTGGGAGGAGTTTCTCTCTCTCATCCAAAGCCCATGTTGGAACTCTGAAACAGAAGGGTCCATTCATGCTAAGGGCACCCTCCCCCCAAGATGGAAGTTTAAATCTCTAAGTATCAGGGTTTTAAACAGCATTTATTTAGTGTGTGTGTGTGTGTGCGCGCGCGCGCGCGTGTGCGTGCAGCTTGAAGGCAAGCATCTTTATACGCTGAGCCATCTTGCCAACCCTGTACCAGTTGCCTGAATTCAGCTTATTTTAATGTGCATGGATTCCATCCCTAGAGTCAGGAAGTTCCCTCACTGTAAGATACAGTGTTAAATATTACTATTCTCCCCGACCTCCAAGTTGCCTTATTCTCAGCTAAAATCCTACTCACCATTTCGAGCTGGTTTAAAACCCTTTGGAAATGCCCATTCTCCCCGACCTCCAAGTTGCCTTATTCTCAGCTAAAATCCTACTCACATTTCGAGCTGGTTTAAAACCCTTTGGAAATGCCCCCCCCTTTGCTGTGGAGCCCAAGTGGATGTAATAAATGGCTGCCCAGTCTGCCTAGTGTCAAGACAAACACAGCAACACTCCCCTCTCACTCAGTTCCTTACATATCCCTTGGACCTTCTTAATGCAACCTAGAATATATGCTGTCTGCACCGTGGTTAGTTCATGCTATGCTACCCATTGGGCATTTTCTCTGGAGTAATTTGTCTAGCAGCCATAGTCAAGGCATTTTGAGTGTTCTCACAGAAGATCCCTGTCATGCCCCTGGGAACAAAGCTAGCCTGATCATCGCATGTTTGCTGTTGCCTTTTGTACAATATAGACAAAAATAAACACACAATACTTGACAATAAAAATAGACTCAGGCTCAAAGGCCAACATTCTTCTTCCAGAAGGCTTTCTTCATAAGTTTGGGTATAGTTACCAATAATGACTTCCATGTTTAAAATGTGACCTCCTGACCTGGAAGGAGATTTTTCAGATCAGAAATAGCACGAACAGCACACTAAAAGGAGGCCATGAGTAACCTAAAGAGAGTGACGGGCACAGCACTAAGAATAATACTCAGTTAAAAATGAAAGGAACATAATAACCCATGTGGATGGAAGAGAAACCGCTCCATTGGTAGATTCTCATAAAAAGTTTTAAAGGGCTTCGGCTGCACTTAGAGCTACTTATTCCGAGCTACTTTTACTTCACAAATGTTTTCTCACAGGAAAGTCACTTTTCCACTCCTTTCTCACAATATCAAATGTCATTCCTGTGATATCTTTCTTCCCTTACAGAAATACTTAAAAATTCTACTCAGGAATATGTCAGAGCCCTTGGCTTCAAATGACAGTTTCAATTTTCAATCCTTACACCCTCCGCCTTTCAAAACAGTGTCCTATCCATGAGCGTTATAATAATCTCAGGATTGTCTCTAGAATGTGTTTTAACATTAAGCTTATGATAGTAGAAACACTCCATAGTGTCGCCAGAATCACACTTATGCATGAACAAGTTCACACATGTGCTCATACACATACATGCAAAAGTCCAGGAGCTGCCAGCTGTAAGTTGCCTTTTCTCTTTTGTTTTTGAAGACAGGGTATCATGTCGTCCAGGCTGGTTTTGAATTCACTAAGTGGCTGAGTGTGACCTTGAATTTTTGATCCTCCTGCCTCCACTTAAATGCTGCTATTACAGGCATGTGCCATTAGGCCCGC